ACGCTTTAAAATCCAAATATCTGCAAGATACCAGAAAAAAACAGTCGAGTTTTCCAAACAAATCCGTAAACTGCAAGATATTTCATTCGAATTTTTCTCATGTTCTGCATATGATGTGTCCCTGTAAGCTGCAAGATTGCCAAACGCAGTTTATTTCACAAAAATTGCAATCACTGTGGTTTCGACGATTTGTTTATCGCTGAAAATTGTCTTGATTTATTTTAATTTTCGGTCATTTCCGAGGAATTTGCATTATTAACGTGTTTTTGCATTTCAGACACTATCTAATACGATCCACTGTTTGTTCGGTAGATCATCATACTACTGAATAATCTTTCAAATCGTTGACATCTTTCATATTTGATTCATTGGGAACCGTGAGGAAGTAAATAGGCGAGTGGTTCGAAGAGAACAAACCTTGAAACTGCTAAGAAGCTCTCTTTGTCGATCGCTGTCACCTGTCATCACAACCGATTGCACAATTTCACGGAAATTGAGGTTTCAAGGTTTGTTCTCTTCGAACCACTCGCCTATTTACTTCCTCACGGTTCCCAATGAATCAAATATGAAAGATGTCAACGATTACTGTTTTGAAAACTTTAGAACACTTCGTCCGTTTAACTCAACTGTTAGTTTGATTCAGTTCTGTAAATTTACTTTTTGTTTCAGGAAGTGTGTGCTGTTGAAGATGAAACGGCAACGAATTATTTACGTCGAAACGACTGGAATCTAGAGGCTGCTGTGCAACACTTTTTCCAGGTTTCTTTCAACCATTATTTTGATTGAGTTCTGTAAATTTCAAAGACTTCAAAACGATTCTCGTATTGTTCTGCATGAAATTTTAGAATGCTTTTGTAGTCTTTTCTTTTTAGAAAAATTTTTATCTCATAATTAATCCGATAAATCCATTTAATAAGAATGTTTCAGAGTGGAGGGCAATTAGAATTTGAAGATCAAAATAATTCGAACGCACAGCAAGAGTTACGACAAAGACACGTAGCAGCTAATGGTCCATCTCCGTCTACATCTGGAATATCCTCCTCACCGTCCACATACCGCAATTCGTCATCAGAAGACGATATTGATCCACCGTTAATACCTTTGGTGAGAAGGCAACAACGACCAATGAGTTGGTCAGAATGGTTTTATGGCTTATTGACGTTGCCAATTACATTCACTTATTATAGTATCATTGAGATACTTCGATTCTTTTGTAAGTTTGCTGTTATTTATTTTGTTGTGTGAATCATTTACCATTGCTGTACAAGTTTTGTACACTTTCGTATACGTTTTCATGGGTTTCGTTCGTGTCTTTGTATTGAAGATGTAGATTCCTTTTTGGATTGAGAGAAATCATTTAATATATCGAATTTATTCGAGCCATTCAGCTTCTCCGTTCATTCAAAACGGTATTGCCGTGTACCTAAATAGTCGGATTCTTGATGTTTAGTATGGGTGAATGCCACCGTCTTGATGGAATTATTAGATTATTGTCATCATTTGCTGTATTGGATAGTCATTTGTATTGTTAATTGATCAGATAATGAACCAGGAAAAAGCTTTTTCTTGGCTTAGTTCATTTGTTAATATGTATTGATTGAAAAAGTAATATTTGAAGGGTCATTGCTAAGAGTAACACCGCTAATGGTGACCGATCCTCGTGCGGATGTGCAGAAATTCGTTGACGAATTTAATTCGCGGTATGGAAATGAGAGGAATACAATTCAATGGTACAATGCACAATATACTGATGTGAGTTTTTTTTTTTCAAAATTGCATTGTTTTTGTTTTAAATCATTATAATTTTAAAATATGAAGGCGATATTATTTTAAAATAACAACTTGTTGATGAATATGATAATACTATTAAATTAAGAGTAATGATTGTGATCATATCCCGTAAATATCCCGGTATAAGTATCCCATTTGAAGGCATTGAATGAGTGCAAGACCTCATTACGTTTCATGCTTGCTTATCTTCACAATCCATCACATCAAGCCACCGATCGTTTCGTAAAGGAGCAATTGCTAAGTGAGCAAATGAAACAGTTCATCGAACGGAATAACATTTTGATGTGGGGTTGTTCGGTACAAACGCAAGAGGGTTATAAAGGTTCGTTGTTCTTCCATCTGAGTAAACGAATAATCTCATTCTGAAAAATATGATATGGGTATTCTCAGAGTACTCATCAATGGATTTAATTTCAGTTTCAATGGCACTTCGTGAGAATACATATCCGTTTCTAGGGTTAATGTGTATGCGAGATCATCATATGTCTTTGGTATGGTGTCATTTCTCTAGGATCTTTTGGTTCAAGCTTGTGTTTTTTTGCGTTTTATCTTTAGGCAGGAGATTTTTTAAAATTATTAGCATAACATAGCTTCAATATAATGATTGCTGTGACAGTATTATATTTCAGGTGTTCAGATTGGAAGGAGAATATGAGCTGGAGCCAATGTTGTACTCACTACAAACTGCGATCGATGAAAATCGTTTATATTTGAATGCCATTCGAGTGGAGAGGTTGGTTCATTTATAAGTGTTGTTAATTTATTTATTCATTCATGTATTAAAAGCGAATGAAGCGAAGAATATCGTTGCTAATATCGCAGATTGTAACCAAGAGACTATGAATTGTCGATCGTGATAGGAGTGATGGGTTGGGGTTGATTGATGGATTAACTGTTGTTAAATTTATTAAAATTCAATGAGATTTTATTTTTCGTCGCAACCTGTTTTATACCACATCACCTTTTGACTTCGCTGGTCACGAACTTGTTTGATATTTTCATTTTGAGTTAGTGTATGAGTTTTGTTAGAGATAGTTGTGAATGAGTTTTGTTGTTGTCTTTAGAGAGCAGCGTGAGGTGAACAGTCAAATAAGACGTGAACAGGAGGTGGAATATCAACGTGGTCTAGAAGCGGATAGGGCGAAACGTGACAAACTGAGAAGAGCTGAAAGTGAACGTCAACTGGCCGAGAAGAGAGAAGCGGAATCTAAGCGGCAAGAACAAATCAAGAAAGAGGTATAAGTTATGTACAGTTGTAATGGGCATGATGATTATGGTAGCGGTAATAGTGGTATTATTAATAACAGCATACGGGTTTCTTCATATCCCGAAAATATTGGTTGATGAATTACAACATGCGGTATTGTTTGAAGAACATTATTATGTGATACTAGAAATGAGAGTGGAATAATCACAACGCAAACGGTAATAATTTTGAGATGTAAGTGATGGTTTTTAAATGGATTTAGCAATTAACCGATACGATGGAATATTCGAAAAAATTTCAGAAATTAAAAGAAATTCGACAACGTCTAGCTGAGGAACTTCCCGAAGAGACGAACGCTGTCGATCATATACGTGTCTGTGTGCGTTTTCCAAGTGGTGATCGATTCGAGAGAAAGTTTGAGAAAGGCGACAGTCTTGAGGTTCATTTTGTTATTTCGTAAATTCTCCTATCACTAAAGAAGGCGTTGATTGGTTGGAGAAAAAAGGTAGATTTTGCACTGTGGTCTATTGTGATATAGCCACAAATTCGTTCAATTTTGTTAGTAAGGATTGTGAAATTTTCATTTTTTGTGTGTGTGTTGCAATGCAGTTAGAAGTGATTTTTTGAGAGAAACTGGATTCATTAGTGTAATTTTTGTTGAATTATTATGATTATTGCTAGCACAGTTTTACCATTATTATTGTTTTGAACGTTGTTATTGTTTTTATTTGGCTGAATGTGATTCATATTGAAGGCTTTGTTCAACGCAACACTGGCCAACGAGAAGTGTCCAGATGATTTCACGTTGATCTGCAGTTATCCGAGACGTCAGTTGAATTGTGCACCAGAGTGGTATCGTGAGTATGGTTCGTCCGTTCAAGATCCACTCAACATACCAACATTTGAAGAGAGTGGTTTCTCGAATTCTTTAGTTGTTTTGGTAAAGGATAATAATGCGTGAATGAGGCAAGTCAGTGACTGAGCCTGTGGATTCACTGAATTAGCATTGTGCCTCCTTGCTCCCTTTGAATATGATTTGTTCATTTCATTCTGAAATCTGTTATTATTATTACTATTGCTGTTGCGATGATGATCATTATTATCATTATTATGGCTGCTATTATTGTCGTGTTTAGTAACATTATGCCTATCTTTTTATGGTACCATTTTATTTCAAGACATAAAGTAGTTGTGGCTAATGTTATTGTTAGAATTGGTATTGTCATTTTATTATTATTGTGGTATTATTTTCAACACTGTGATTGTTTCATACCATTGTCGTCATTATTACAGCGTATCCTCTCATATCGAAAACCTATGGGACCATGTTCAGTTCGGATAACTGAAACGTTTAGAGAATGGATGGATAGATTGATTTTTGGGGATCTCAGCAATGTGTTTAGAAAATTTTTTCCTCTACCCATTGACACTAGCAAATGAGTCGATATGTTTATGAAACGAGTCGGAATGAAATAAATTGAAGAAACCTTTTCCTAGCTTTTCCTTGCAAAATCCGACTAGTCACTGTTAAACTCTTTTCTCGGCGTTGCCTGAGCCATTTGTATTAAAACGTTAAATTTCCCGACAATATTCAGTTGAGCGTTTGAATACGAGAGGATGCACTGTCGCACAGCTATTGTGCTTCCTTATCGTCACATCAGTTTGATAGATTAATGAAATTAACGCATCGATAGAAGAGAAATTTAATTTTGTTAATCTTTGTTCTGTGTTTTTGACCGTTTTCACTGTTGCAGTTCATTCCTTTATCCAACTTTATTAGCTCTTGCCAGTTCATATCGTAGGAGGCTTCCGATATTAATTTGGGGTGCTCAGATATATCCAAGATTGTTTTTATTGTTAATCAGCAACGAGTAGTAAAATGGATTTTGAAATGTTTGCTGTTCGGATTAACTTATCAAGACGCATTCATTTTGTTTGAGCTAACATAACGTAGAAATAGAGTACNAGCATTTAGTAAAGCCGTAGTGATATTAAGTCTGCGAAGCAGTAAAATATTAGTGATATCTTTGTATCTGCTTATTGGTGCATCCATAGAGAAGAGCTAATCAAGTCATGTTGATGCCAAGTATTATGAGATCGTGTCGTTCAAGTTCAAATCCGTCATTTTTCCCTTCATTGGTTATTTTGTTTGTTTCTTTTGAAAGGCTTATTTTGTTGACTGTTTTAGGTTATACGTATGTATGATTTTTATCAGTCTGATATCGAATTCATTATCTTTATCGTCCTTTATACTTGTTATATATGCAACTTTCAGCGTGCACATGATGGCTAATCTTTCATTGTATTCAGTAGGCATTGACCTTGTTTAAAAATTTATTTGTTGCTGTCTAAATACTGTTTAATCTGTTGGTTTTATTTCGTATTGGTTTTATCATTGTAGTCTTGGATTTATTTCCAAAATTAACTTTGCCAGTGTCACACTCTTCATTTGTGATGGGTTTCCTCGTTCCTCGTCTTTGTCGCTAACTCTCTACATCGGTTTATTTTTTGTCCTGCTCTATCTTTATTTACGCTGCTTTAGGTAATCCAGTTTATAAATCCCTTCACCATTCATTCAGATTTATCGTTTACATCATTCTTATAAATACATTCAAATCTTATACATCATCTATATAGTCACATTCAAATTTTTTGCGTATCATTCTTGCAAATGCGTATAAATTCTCAAATGTGGAATATATGTAAAATCGTATCATTGTAATTTGCATTTGCAAATACTTTGTAGCGTGTTATCTAATCTTTGATTCATTGTATGGAATTGCAATTGCCTTGTCATCTTGTCGGCATCCGAAATAATAAACTCGTTACCAGATGGTATCGGAACCGAAGTGTTAAAAACGTCATTACCCACCGTGGATCACCGCATGAAACAGAATGTGCTTAAGGAATTTGACACAGCCAGTTGAGCCGTAAAGCGGCTGTTTGTTGTTGAAAGCACCCCTCTACCCTATCAAACATTCTCATTGTGATCCGAACAAATTTACAACGAAACACTTTGTCAAGCGATACTCAATTAAGAAGCACTAATCAATTCAAGACACCATATCATTAACTGATACTCAAAAAATGATTACGAAGGAATTCATATTGTATTTTGCTCTCTTGTAATCTTGTAATCACTCCGATTCATTATCAGCAAAACAATCATTATTTCTTATCAGTCGGTGACTCGTAAAGCATTTTATAATCACGTTCATCAATGGAGAGACAAAAACGTTCTAAAATGGCACATTGTGTACATACATCGTGAACGAATGAACCAAACGAACTGTAAGTGATCCATTTGCCAGAGGTAACATGAGATCGCTACATATAAAGTCGCACTTCAAACTTCACATTTCCGCAAAATTCCTGCCACTTCAATGCACAGTCTGATTCATGGCAGTTCTACGAGATAACATTTTTCAAAACTATTTCCATTTTACATTCCGAAATGATAACAAAACCTTTCCAAAGAATGTTTTGTCTTTTCTGAACACTTCACTTGCTAATGAATCACATTAAAAATGAATCATTGCAAACAATAAAAGAATAGAATCAGTCATTGAAACAACGTGAGCATTTCAAAATGAACATTATTCAATCAAAAAATAACGATCCATATTCGCTTTAGTTTGCATGAGATTTCTTCAGAGGTGGCCGTCGGTTGAATTCCTGATCCCACCAATCATCTTCAGTATATTTAAGCCAGATCGCGAACAATATCATCAGTACTTCAGCGGATATCACGATAAAGAATATAGACGATATTATGAAGGCATAAGATGGAAGTTCAGTGCTAAATGAGAAAAAATTTGAGTTTAAATTGATAAAGTACCTAAGAAACTATTTCGAAATTCATATTGAATGCCATTGAAAATAATTTATCTTATACGAAGAACAAGGTCGTTAAAGCTTTACTCTTCCATACAATACGTTATTTAATATTTATTCCGAGATCAATGAATATTAAAAAAACAACATACTTGGGGATTACGACTGCGTCATAAAACGATTTCATTTCATCGAAAATATTCCTAGTTTGAGTGGAAGTTATAGCCGCTGCTAAACAATGATTCGATGTTATTGATGAATCACACTCTGGAATAAATATCATGCAGTCATGGACGTGAACGATTTGGAAATTTTCGAATTCGTAAAAAATTTGCTGAGATTTTGATCAATTTAAGAGAACAGACATGTATGTTCTCTTAGAAATAACACGATTTCATCACCATAAACTCGAAAAAATGAAATATTCATCGATTTTTCTTGGAGTTCCTATTCTTCGTGAAACAACTAAGTACACTTTCAAGTGAAAGCATGAACCTCTGTCGTAAAAGAGTTCAAAACCAGCTCACGAACTGTTCTAAACAAACAATGAAGAGGACACGTCCAAATACCTGCTTCAAGCAAATGAATTAGCATACATGAGTGAGTATTTGCGAGATTAACTGCGTTGAAAAATATGAACGATGTGAAAAATCTAACCCATTAATGATCGTATAATAAATATATTTCGACTGAATGGAATAAAATTTTGAAGAATGAATAGAAAATTCAGCAGAATCGGTTATATGATACAATATTACTTCAGTGATACGTCGGCTCAAATATGAAAATTCTGAAAATCAATTCAATAACAATTGTCCTCACCCTTCGGAGTTAGAGTCGCTCAGAAACAGCACTTCAGTTGATCAAAATTATAGTCAAAGTAAGTTAGAAAGGTATACAATCAGAGTTAAATAAATCTAAGTGAAACGAAAGTGGCCATCACAAATGGAAATCGCATGCCAAAATTAGTATAATCAGGCTTACAAGCAGATATCGAAGTTGAACATAGCAGATGGGCGATAGTGTATCCCAAACTAACAATTCAATAGTAATGCACTAGCAGACGATGAACGTGTCTCGCACTAATGGTAACGTCAATGGCATGAATGAACACTAGACCAATGTTGTGACTGATCTTTGAAATCAGTGAATCATTTTATTTCATCATTGCAATTCTTCAATCAATCGTTTCCATCATCAGTTGAGAAGCATCAATTTTTTGAATCATAAAGCCTCTTGAATTTTTAGCAATTATCTTCTTTTCTGTTAGTTTACATTGGTATCTTCTGTCTTATCTTCTGTCTGAAGCTGATAACATACAATAAACCGCACTAATTACATCTGTAGTTGTCATTTATGCAACCGTTCACCTTCCTTCTAGTGAATATATTCGATAGAGATGATTACATGTAGGTGTTAATGTTATAATCATCGAAATCTTTAATTAGCATACACTAAGATTGCCTAGCTATCGTTATCATACATACTAATTTTTCAGTGTTGTCATATTGATTTTGACGAACTTATTCAGTGAAACTCGAAACAGGTCTCTGAAGAAATGGTGAAAAACTACATCTTGAAGAATCGCACTTATCGCTAAAGTTTTGTTGAGAAGTGAATGGTTATTCATTCATTCCGCATGTAAGAAGAAAACATCACAATGAAAAAACAAGATGTGAATCTTTTATCATCATATGAGTGCAATTTTCTTCTTCGTCAAAAAGAAATTTCGTAGGCAACCACGACATTCAACGTTACCTAAGAAAACACTCCAAAAAACTCAGCATCACCAGTGTTCTAATCTGGTGGATCATTCGCACACAAAACTTTTTCAAAAATAAGAATCAACCAACACATCGAAAAACCAATAAAGAGGAAGGGAGAAGGTAAATATAAGAAAGAGAAAAAACAAAAAGAAAATTTTGAATCTGCACAAACAATGAATACAAAATGACTGCTGGAAATCACATTTGAGTTCATCAAAAAACCACACTGAGCAGTAGTAGAGCCGCTATTTTCAAGCAATCGCTGTTCTCAGGTTTGCCCAGTAACATGGTACTTTCTGCACACCATAAGGTTCCCCGGACCGCCTACTTTCAGAAAAATATATATATTGTCGGGCAGTTA